TATAGTGTGGCATGAAACCCTTGTAAAGCAGGTGGGTGTGAAGGATTTTCCGGTCAGAGTAAGACTTCGTATTTCCACATTTAGGGCATGGACAACACATAAAACCATTCAGCTTGTTTGCCTCAGCCACTTCGAGAAAATTATGCACGCCCTTAATGTACTTGGAGGTGTGTCTGTCACCATACATCCATTGTCGGTTCATCTGCGTGCATTATATATAATTATGTGTGTCAAAAGTAAGAAAATCAGACAAGTATCTATCTAAAGTAAGAAAATCAGACAAGTATCTATCTAAAGTAAGAAAATCAGAAAGAAGATAAGAACAAGAGACTCGCCACGGTGGTGCCGGCGATGAGATCGGCGCGGGCGATCAACGGCGTGAAAACGGGGACGGGGCGTGACGGACCGCTAAATCTAGACAAATCTCGGGAAAAATGGAGCTCCGAGGTCGAGCTTCGAGAGGAGAAAGCTTAACTAGTGTGGCTCGGGCATTTCATCAAACACTTCATGTGCATAGGAGGTGAACTAGAGCATCCAAATGCCCTCCCCTCGCCGGCTTGAAAAAACAGAGCACTGTGGAGTGGTCTGCCGCGGCGATGGGGTATATATAGGCAAATTATTTGTCCCGGTTTGTGGATGAACCGGGACTAAAGCCCCCCCTTCTACACCGGTTCAAGGCATGAACCGGTACCAATGTCTGTGGGCCAGGAGCGCGGCCCATTGGTCCCGGTTCGTGCCCACAACCGGGACAAATGGATCCAGACGAACCGGGACCAATGCCCACGAGTCCCCGGCCGGCCCCCTGGGCTCATGAACCGGGTGTAATGCCTCTCATGGGTCCCGGTTCGTGAAGAACCGGGACTAATGGGCTGGCCAGACCCGAACCAAAGCCCTGTTTTCTACTAGTGTCAGCTTGACTTTTTGCCTGGCAGTGTGGCCCCAGGTGCGCTTTTCCCTTGAGCCGGAGCCCCCGAGCGCCCCCCAGTGCGCCGGGTTTGGCCTGCGATCGCCAGACCCGAAAACGGGCCAAGCCGGCGGAATTCGGCGTCTTGGGGGCTTGACTGGGGCGTTTTTTCGACGCCGACACGAAAAAATCGCCTTGGGAGGGCCTATTGGGGGCGCGGCTGGAGATGCTCTAAGGTCCTTGTGATGGGTGCACACAGGTTCTCAAGCAACCGGCACGCCATGTTAATTCTATGATAAAAGTTCCAAAATTATGAAAAATTTGAGATTTTCTCAGTCACTAATTCAACTCATAGTCTGAGAACCAAAAAAATAAGTAAAACATGCTATGAACAGTAGCTAATTCAAACTGGGCCCAATAAGTGTACGACAACTGAATTTGTTAGAAAAGAAAACTGAGCTGTGAGTTGGAGTTGTTACGAATGAAACTGGTACATGTTAGATATAAGCTATGTCTATCGGACATGGAGTATCTACACCCGAGTTCAAATGCTCCCTCATGAACAGTAAAATTGAAAAAAATAGTAAAAAAAGTTCAAACAAATCTGAATTTTTTTGTGGTAAACTTTGGCAAATGATTTGTATGCTTGCAAACTTTCAGCACGATACAACATTCGTGGAAGGCATAAAAAATTCGATGTTCCAAAAATGCTATTTGAAAACATTTTGGAGTACTGGTTTTTTTTTGCCATGCCTGCCATGAATGTTGGTTCATACTGAAATTTTGCAAGCATACAAAACATTCGTCAAAGTTTATAAAAAAATCAGATTTTTTTAATTTTTTTACTATTTTTTTCGATTTTACTGTTCAGGAGGTTTTATTTGAGCTCGGGAGCAGAATAGGACTTTCAATGTCTATGTATACTCAATTATTTTCAGATGTTTTGAGAACTTCTCACGTGTGTTTTTGTATGTCGGGTGCACCGCTTGTACACGGACTTCTCACGTGGAGTCGGGAACGACTACAATAGAAAATGATGTTCAGGTGCAAAAATAGAAAAATGCAACCTAAGCCGTCAGATTACAGATCGATGGTACAGATTCTGAAGGAGTGGTCTGTTCCCACTTATTGTGCATTTTATGAATCACCCCCTAGTTCTAGTTAGATATAAACATGACATTTACAGTAACAACCTCAAGTTTTTCATCCATTTCCAAATCTTCACAGCGTTGCATGTTTTTGAGTACATGACAAAGTGGACCATCCGAAACAGAACAGAACACAAAAGATGACTTACATTAGTCCAGACTCAGTAAACACCTTACGAACTTTGGAAGTTTAACACGATTATCAAAATGAAAACTAAAATAAGATGACCATAGATCTGGATAAATAGGGAATAACCCAGCAATTAAACAAGAAAAGAAATGGTTTCCTTTGTAAAAATTATGCATATTAAATTGAAGCCAACGTTAACTTTATCTGGCAATACACAACCACATATGAATATACTGGTGAAAATGGATTTCAGCAAGGTATTCCATTTTCTGGGTCCACTCTGAGCCACATGCATGTCAAATGTTACATGACATGTCAAACTGGAACAAGAGACTCGCATACATATCAAGTGATACATAAGAGGATCTTTTTAGTACTTGGCCAGCAAGACTAACTCTTAGTTATAAAGGACTAATATAATCATAGCTCAACAAGCATTGCCATTAATAATTGCATCAGCTTTACTATCTTGAGGGTACATGACCGAGAAGCTATAGCTTTTCCCTCCAGTTCCGCCGCTTCTTGCTCATCGAGCTTCACGTACTGGGAGAGACCACACCAAACAAACACGATTCAGTTGAGCACATATATGTGTCGGTGTATGCTTAACAAAATAATTAAAATTATCTTGCAGATAAATTCTTGCGATTGCAAGGGAATAATTAAAATTATCTTTGCTAAACGCTTCTTCTCTCCATCTCTAGTCCTTATGCTTCCAGATGTCACGTCATCATCCATCTACAAATATGAGGAAACTTCTATAGTTTACACCACCGGGCATGAAATAGAAAAATACGGAAAATATTTTAATCAAGCATAACTAAACGTACAAGCTGCATTTCCACGCAACCCATACCACACCAAACAAGGATTCAACCTCTTCAACTTATTTGGAAGATGCTTCAGATTGTAGCTACAATAACTTGGAAGAGGTTACTTCAAAATGAAAAAAGTGCAGTGTCACAGAAGTTGTAGCTAGAACAGAATGCTACTTGTCCCAGAAGTTCTGAAGTTGGTAACATGTTTCAGACAAAATACTCAGAAACATTACAAAATGGATGCTTCATCCTTGTATTGCTGCATCTATTCTTAAAGGTATATTATGCTCAAGAATGCTCATCTTTAGAGTTTCTTCTGTGAAAAGTTTTTTCAGCAGGTGCACATTATCTTTTTAGTTTTTCTGTCCTACATTCAGCCCGTTTCTACATGTTCTGTTTCCTGCTGAAAACAGAATTCCAGTTTCCCCTACTCTGTACTATGATGCACACTCCAACATATGACCTTTAATGCTTCATATTGTTGTATCCCCCTTAATAATGAGGTCCAGCAGCAAAGGCAAACGATTTTTCTGTGATTTTGTGTAAATTTCTGAAATACCGATGTACGTAGTATTATGACCTAGCCATCTCTAATGGAGTATGAGGAACATCATGGTCAGTGGGCATATGAAATCGCTACATTGTCATTAATACTAGCAAATACAGCATTTTCTTACGTCTAAAAGTTCAGTATGTTGGGTTGAAATTAACTTCTTGTACCAATAGAACTAATTTCAAGTTAAGTCGACTCTTAACAGAGGGAGCTTCGATAAAGTAGTGTAAGATAACTAATCTAAGAGGATAACAGATCAAAGTGGATTGCACATAGCAATAAATAAATAAATTCAGGGTACATTTATTCAGAGTATATTAGTAATGGAAACATGAGTAACACCCTTCACCATGACAGTGTTCCCATCCTGTTAAGACACGACTGAGAATTTCCATAGAATGTGCAGATGCATTGGGCTATATGCATTTACAAATGTATACTCAGGTCATTCATGGTGATATAAAGCATGGTAGATTGGTAATGTACTTATAGAAGACTCCGCGCAAAATTAGCATAAACGGAATGATGGATTAGAGCCAAATCGATTTCCCCACACAATAGAATACGAGGTCGTAACATCGAAAATCATACCTGAAGTCTGAAGTTTTCTTCTCCGCCGTCGACAGGATGGCAGATGGCGAAGCTAGGCGCGCGGGGGTTGGGGGGCAAGGTGGAGAATGGTGGGGCTGGGCAGGACAAAGGATGAGGGGAGGTAGTGCTCTGGACGTCCGAGCACAGTACTGGGACGAGCTTGTTCCCCCGACGTCACAGGGCAGCACAAGGTGAGGTCTTTCGGGGCAGGCCGACCGCCGTCGACGAGCAGGTAGTAGCCATCTGAGAGGAGATAGAACAACAGCTAAACTAGGCTTACTCGCTAACTGGGCACCAGATCTAGACCGCCGGCATCATCCTCGGCAAGCTAGAGGAGATCGGCGACAGGGGTTGATCCAGGAGGGCTGTTGCCGCTGAGGAGGGGAGGGGATCGCGCTTGGAGGAGAAGGATGTCGGACGTAAATTAACCTGAACCGAGGGACCATTTTGCTAATTGTCTGTGCAGATCGCTCCGCTGTAATCTATAGTGTCTGTCTTCAATCGGAAGGCCCAGATTGTTTTTTCTATTCTTTCACCTGAAGCACATCTTCTATTCTAGTCGCCCCCCGTGGAGTCACATCTCACATGTCATATATTCTCGAGCGTGAATGCCATTGCAAGATAGGCTGTTTGCTTATGCGGGCCTTGGATTCTTAGTACATAAACCATTTCAGCCCCTTCTCGGAACATATAAATCTATATGAAATCTGAATCATCCTAGACGTGGGAATACATTTCCGAAATAGCTATGTGTACCTATAAATCGACAAAAATGCTACACTTCCGAAAAAAAGGCTCAAAAGACATTAAAATTTCGAGAAACATGTACAAGCTGCCAAGAACCAAGGAAGCCAGAATGGGGGAGGCGACCATGAATATCATCGGCGCTTTCGGTAGCACGTTCAGCCACCGTGTCAAGCTGGCTCTGAGTCCCAAGGGAGTTCCCTACGAGCTCGCACTAGAAGACCTGGCCAACAAAAGTGAGTTGCTGCTGACCCACAACTCCGTCCACAGGATGGTCGCCGTGCTCCTCCACGACGGTCGGTCCATCCGTGAGTCGCTCTTCATCGTCGAGTACGTGGACGAGGCCTTCCATGGGCCGCCACACCTGCCGGCCAACATCCACAACGATCAAAAGGTAAAGCCAGCAGACGATCGATCATATTTTCTGCTGTGGTTTTATTTACTGAACATTGTCCTACAGTTTGCACGGCCGTTCTGGATGTCCTTTTGGTCGACGGCGGACAAGGGCGACTAGCAGAAGGAGGGCTTCATGAAGAAGGCCAGGGGAAACCCCCTGCTTCTGAAGGAGCAGCTGAATGGGAAGAAGTTCTTCGGCCGGGACGCCATCGGCCTCGTGGACATCACTGTCGGCGGGTTGGCTGGTGCACTGGCTGGGCGTCTTCGAGGAGATCTGCGGGGTGACGCTGGTTGCCGACGAGGAATTCCCCGGTCTCTGCCGCTGGGCGAAGGCCTACGTCGAGGAGGAGGACGACGTGAAGTGGTGCCTGTCGGATATGGGAAATGGAGATATTTGGCAAAAAAGAAGGACATGAAATGAGGATGGTGTGCACCTTGCTCTGCTTCGCTATCCCTCCCTTGTTTTCTGCTTGCTCTGTTTCCTATGCTTTGTACTTGAGGGATGGTGTCCCTGTTTCTGCTTGCTCTGTTCAGCTTATCAGTTTTGTCGCCAAGAAACTTTGATTATGGATGATGACACTGCTACTTGCCACCTCGGAACCGCCGCCGCACAAAAGCAAGCACCGTCGGCTGGTGCACACAAACAAACGTTGCTGGCCACTACACGAACAGAAATGCTAGACCTACAAATAAATACATGATTTTACAGGCTCTTTACATCTCCTAACCAATCACAAACTTGATCCCCTGATTTTCAGGGGGTGGGCCACCTCCCTCACCTATTGACCAATCAAGTTAACCCTCTTTGTAAAATCCTGTAACTCGTTTGTACGTGTAGCATTACTGCCACACGAAATCTACAAAAATGCTACACATACGTGAACGACAATCTACTTTTACGTAAACTTCCTAACAAACCTCTCCAACCCCCTGAATTCAACGGGTGGAGCCCCCTCCCTTAATGTACCAAAAAGAAAAATTAGCCCAACAAAAGAATGCCATCTAGGCCTTATGTTAATTACGTATAACTAATTGCGTAGGTGTAGTATTGCTGCGAAATCTATGATGGTAAAAAAAGATTATCTTATATTTTGGTACGGAGTTTGTAGATCATAATTTAACAACGCTAACAACGGAATAATGGTTGTCTGATATTTAAATTGTAGGTGTGTAAGGATGATTTGATCTGATGAGCTACACCTCTTCCAAAAATACTCATCTACTCGTGTTAAAAAAAAAAGAATACTCATCAACTCAAATGCCTTCCTGGACTATCTTGTTTCTTTCCTAGGTGAAGCTTTAGTTGTCGAAGGACACCATAGGTATATCTATTTCCGACTTTCTGGATATGAATATCGTTTCTTCTTGCCACCACATGTATATGCAATGTTTAGATGGGAAGTTGAGAAGAAAATAAATATTTGTGTGCACACACAGTTTTGCAGTGTATACCTTTGTACACGTTTGTTTTGAAGAATCATGACTATGGCGAGCAAGAACGAACCTAGCAAAATAAATACCCCAGGTTAAATTGAGAAGTGTATATGTTGCAAATCAGGTTAATGGGCTTCCACATGACTATGTAGCTTGTTAGGTCAACAATTTTATTTGTTCTCTTCATCTGATTATTTGATATTTTAATTTTAGATTACTATTTGCTGCTAGACAATGAAGAATTACAAACTGCAGAATGAGCTGCTGTTCATGTTAGCGCAGAGCTGGGCAGCTTTTCAGAGAGCAAGAATGGGAGGTATAGAACCATTTGATGGATTTGGTGCTGAACTTCTGGTGTGGTAGAAGCTTTGCACTACAAGCTCTGAAGAAAGAATGAGTTCTTGTAGTGTTTTCATGGTGTGAAAATAACTCCACTTCATCAGGTCAAGTTGTTATGTCAGATTTTTTAGATGACAAACAGGAAAAAAGAATCACTTGCTGTGTTTCTTTGATTAAAGGCATCTGTGTTTCCTGGATTAAAGTCATCGCACTCTATAATTTTGGTGTTAGGATTGCTATGCCCAATGGTGTTATTCAATAGTTGACATGCCTTATACTCCACTTCCTTTGATAGTGTGAAACTATACTAGACAATTCAGACAAAATGCAACAATCAGGTTATGAGTATCAAGTGGGAGAAAATATAATGACTTATTATTGAACAATATTCAAATTTTCTTGCCAGATTTTGCCGGTTGACAAGATTATGTGTGCTTAGAAAATCACCCCAAATAAGATTATGCTTCATTTGTTCCCATTTATGTTATATATAATTTCTTCTTATGTCATGAATTACAATTTTTAACTAATGTAACAAGGGTCAAGTCTGTTGTTCCGTGGCAACGCTCGGGCTTTATACTAGTATATAGAATAATTCCGTGTCCTCTTGATCAGTTAGGTACACGGTAAAATAACCTGTCTGTGAAGGATTTTGATTAGTTAGTATGTTCACCTTTTGTTGTGGGCAACATCACAATAATTAACTAGCATTTTTCCAGCACCATGTGTCCAAAGTTCCGTGGAATGCATATTCTGTGCAGCTGGTTGCGTGAGCAATTGCATGAGGACTTTTTGAGTTTTGAAAACTATTAAAAAGACTTATACATAGGTTATATTGCAAGGCATAGGCCAGAAGCCTAAGCTCATACACAAATGTGTAAAAGTATAGGCCAAAAGCAGGCTTTGCAATATAACCATGATTAGAAGTTAGCATTCAACAATATGAATTTTTATACCTTCCATGAAAGGCACAGGGCACAAGTACCGGTTCATTAGAAGTGCAGGTGCATATGTTTGGTAAGAAAAAAGTCCATTTTACTACCCTGACTAAAGTGGGTAGTTCACTTTACCCCCTGATTTATTTTTCGGTTCCTATACCCCCCTAAACAATCTCATACCGGACAAAAAAGCACCCTAGGTGGTTTACCCAGACCAGATGATGACGTGGACACAGTCAAAGGTGGTATTTGACCTGCCGGTGGGTCCCACTCGTTAGTTTTTTTAAAAAAACAAAGAAACAGAAAAAAGATAAAAGGGGTGGCCCCCCTACTCCAGTAGCAGCCGGCCACAGCGGCGGCAGCCGGTGCGCGCGGAGCCGGCGCGCGCCGAACGGGGGAGGCCGAGCGCGGCCAGGCGTTGCGACGGGTTTGCGCGCACGAGGGCAGGGCGACATGGACCGGCTTGGCGCGGACTGGGCTGCGCGCGCGAGGGTAGAGCATGCGTGGTCGGAGCCGGCGAGCGGAGCCGGTGTGCGTCGAGCGGGGGAGGCTGGGCGTGGCTAGGCTCAACGATGGGTTCGCGCGCGCGAGGGTAGAACGGCGCGGACCGGCTTGGGCGCGGACAGGGCCGCGCGCGCGTGGGCAGAGCGGGGGCGGTCGGAGCCGGCGGGCGGCCGGGGACGACGGCGCGAGCAGCGCGCGAGGGCGGCTGGGGTCTACAATGCAAGCTCGGGGAGGAGGCGGGGCGACGCAGGCGCGCGGCCGGAGCGGCGACGGGGCGGACGGCGCCGGAGCCAATGCCATGGAGGAGCGAGGCAAGGCCGAGCGGGGGGCTCACCGAGAGCGCCACGGCGAACGGCAGGTTGGCGTAGCCGCGGGAGGAGGCGGGCCAACGCGGGGTGGAGCAGGTGGCGACACGGCTCGTCGGCGGGGTCGCACTGGAGCAGGAACGAAGCGCGAGGGAGCGACGGGGATGCCCACGCCCGACCTGACAAGGGGGGCCCACCGAGGTCAAAACCACCGTTGACTAGTGCCACATCAGCAGCGAGTGGAGACAAACCAGCCGGGGGGGGGGGTGTTTTGTCCGGTTTTGGTTTGTTTGGGGGGTAGAAGGAGGCAAAAATTAGATCAGGAGGTAAAGTGAACCACCCACTTTATTCAGGGTAGTAAAATGGACTTTTTTCGTTTGATAATAGGGACACAAAAACTTATATTAAACTAGCAAGGTGATAGCTTTGTTGTATATTTCCCAAGATATTTTATATATTATTATATTATTTCTTAGTTATTGGGATCTTATTAGGTTACCATTTAAAAAGTACAAAGAAGGAGAGCAGCATGACATGGTATTAAATTATTTGGCCCCTGCGATGAACTGCCATTCAATTTGCTTTACATCGAAACAGTCATGTTTTAGCCATTAGTTGTATTAAGTACATCACATCTAAACTGCCATTCAATTTGCTTTACATCTAACCTCTGGTATCCGGTAACCAAAGACGGCAAATGGCCGACTTGTAGAAACGTAGCATTTGTACTTTGCATTATCATATAATTTTTCCCTCTATCCTTCTTGTTTATATTTTCACCAATTATTAAAATAACTTTTACACCAAAAGTAAAATCAATTTAGTGGTAAAAAAAGATATACTATTGATAACTAAATGTTGTGTTGTCTTTCTCAATAACCTGATGCATCGCATCTTAATCTAGTTTCCAGTAGATAACACATTTCAATTGACTTGATACGTTGACATAGTCTGTTAATAAAGCTATGTTGGCCCTCGCAAAATAAATAAATAAAGCTATGTTGGAACTGGATGTAATCTTGAATCAATGCATGTGATTCCCGTCGGTACAGTAACATCATCAGTTGAAGATGTGTTAGATGTCGTACATGGTGTGGGGTGTCGGCCTTTGCATGGCCATCTGACCTTGCCACTTCTTTGTTAAGTTCAGAGTTTGTCTAGTTCGTGTGTAGTCATGGATATGTGGCCGTGCGTTTCTTTTCTTTTGCTGGAAACTAATCACGCTGTGAAAATCAACAGACCAATCACGCCTATGGAAATCAATTTAGCTATAGACGCGTGTCTGTCCTTTTTTAGTCGAAAAGATGTGCACATCCCAGGGATTGCACGTGTCCCTCTTTTGGAAGTCAACTAATTGTAGAGGAACTCAGGCTGTTGTGTTTTGAGTCCTAATAGCATACAAATCCAACTTACTACATATCCGATTGCATCTAGCGCGTGGACGGAAGCTAATATGGTGATGAATATCCACCGTTCAAATATTGTAACTTTATAGAATTAAATCTATGCCGTTCGTTTTCTATCGTTTTAATAATATAATAGAAGATAAGTAAATATTTGCTCGCAGCTAGCTGCCAAATAATCAGTTAGTGAATGAGTTGCATTCATGTGAACATGACGTGTCTACTAGACATTATGATGGCCAACTGTTCGCCAAGTGGATTGGGACTAACTATGCATGTGCATGTTGGCAACCTGAGTAGATTATAAGTTAGGGCAGATTGTGTAAACCGTCAATCTTCTAGGGTTCTCGGCTCCAGTTCATCTATCAAACAAAGACCGGCCAATCGATCACCAATATTCACAAAGAGACCACACGACAGCCGGCCAATGAACCACTAGAGATTAGGAGGTATCGGGATATTAACTCAAACAATGTTTAGGAGGTGAGACTTCTAGCG